TCCGTCCTTGCCGCGCCGCCCCGAGGAGCGCATCGCGGCTCGCATCGCGGCTGATGGTGCAGCAGAAGAAGAGGGCTCGAAGGACTGCCCCCCCACCCGCGATGCAATTTCTACCGCATTTATTCCGGAATACATTTGGAATAAATTTGGTAGAAATGTTGATCGGGCGTCTGTATAGTTTCAGCGTGTATGTGTGTGCGTGCGTGCTTGATGCACGTGCGTTGTATGACGATATACGGAATGCTAAAAGAAAATAGCACGCGCGCACGCAATATTTATATATATACATATATAGCAAACGAGAAAACACAACACCACACACAATACAAAACAAAAGCGTACAGGAGGCAGCGCAGCCGAAGGAGAAGAGCCGCAAAGCAGAGGAGGAGGCGCAGAAGAGGGTGAGGAGGCAACATGATGAGGACGAGGCGGCACGTCTGAAGAAGGCGAGGGGCAACTCGAGATCGTCCTCACCCCAAGGTGCGAAGCCTGCGTGGGCTGGCGTGCACTGCGGAGACGGCGAGTCCCCCGCCCCGACATCGGTGGTATCGAGCGGCTCCTCGGGAATAGCCCCAATCGGGGGTCACCGTTCGATGGGCATCGCGGCCACTTCTCGCGAGCCGATTGGAACATCCAACCATATGTTCTCGAACACGTTCCCCGACAGCAAGGAGTGTCTGATATCGGCGATCGACTGCGAGATCAGAGCCATCAACGACGAGATGGCATGCCATCCATGCCCCGACGAGCGCACGATGGAGCATGCGAACATCAGGCTGGGACAGTTCTTTCAGTCTAGGCTCGTACAGAAGATGACAGCGTTGAAGAAAGCAGATCCCAGCTTCAACTACGAGGATGAGGAAAAGCCCCCAGAAGAAGGTGAAGATGCGGACGACGGCCTCAGTAAGAAAGACAAGGAGGAGAAGACATTCTATGAGGAGATGGACAAGAACAACTTCATGTTCACCACGCAGACGAGATCGGGAAACAAAGTCGGTGTGCGTTGGAGCAAGGCGCTAGCGGCGTCCGAGAAGCTAAGGAGGGACTACGCGGAGCAGAAGGCATGGTCAGCCCAGCGGACGTTCAGAGCGAACTGGCTCAAGCTCGAGAAGGCGGCTTGGGAGAAGACGGTGACGTACGTGAAAAAGGAGACGCATGAGAAGGAGGATAAGACAAAGGGCGACTACGTCACCCTGATGAGGCTGGCGTGGCTCAAGGGTGGCGGCACCGCGGGCCTCCGCCTGTCGCTGAAGCACGCGTCGAACGCGATGCTGCTGGGCGGGTACTGGGTCCGGTGGGACGACATGTCCGAATCAGTGGAGTTCTTGAACACCAAGCACCAGCTAATCGAGACTTTCAAGAAGAGCTGGTCGAAGCATAAATCGTGGGTGGGGCAGAGGACTGCTATCGAAGGCCCAGCACCGTCACGTGCAATCGCGGGCGGTGTCAACCAGCTCCGCGATGAGGAGAAGAATGCCGACAAGGAGAACAAGGACAAGGTGGGTGACAAGGGTACGTCCATGAAGGAGGAGGCTAAAGAGGACAAGAAAGACAAGACGGCAAAGAAAGACAAGAAGCACAAGACAGAAAAACACATGAGGTCGAGGAGGAGACAGCCTCGGGTGATGGCAGGGCGCACAAGAAAGACAAGAAGGCTACGGACGGCAAGGATGCCAATAACGACACAAAGGACAAAAACGGCAAGAAATACAAAAAGGACAAATACGACGCGAAAGATAAAAATGACAAAGACGAGAAGAAAGACAAAAAGAACAAAGGCGAGAAGAAAGACAATAATGATAAATACGACAAAGAAAAGAAGAAGACGCCAGAATTCTTCGTCAAGTTCAGGTCGCTGAAGCAGAACTACGACTGGGCAATCAGCCAGCATGCCAAGCTCGACGGGCTCATCAAGTCGAAGGACCAGTCATGGAAGATCGTCGGCAAGCTTCGTGAGCCCATGGACCTTGCGATGCAGGCCGTGAACGCCAAGTGTCAAGAGCGCGGCCTCCTGTCGATGATGGCCCTTGCGGAAGCGCAGTACAAGAAGCAGGTGCACCGACGACGACGACGCCGACGACGACGCCGACGACGATGACGATGACGATGGCGATCACGACGACGACGACGACGACGGCGACGACGCCGACGACAGGTGGGTGATAAAGAGTTCGAGAACACCGTTCAGAAGGCGAACGCTACGCTGACCCAGGACGTCACTCAGCTGGCCTCAGAGGTGGGGATCTCGATAAACCAGAAGCTTGCGAGGGATGAGGAGGATGCGAGGCAGAGGGCAGCGGAGAACGGAGACAGCGCGAAGAAGGGCACCAGCAGCAGGAAGAGGAAGGATGCGAAGGGAGAGGCGGCCGCGAAGCGCAAGAAAGGCGAGAAGGAGGGCGTGTCGTCTGAGTCGGACTGAGGGCTGCAGCGAGGCATGCAAGAGGAGGCGGAGGAGGACCAGAGGAGGCCGCTGCATGCAGCAGCTGTTCTGAGCGCGGGCCGCCGAGTGAGCGGCGTGCTCGAGGGTCAGCAAGCCGCCGCCCCTAGACCCATGGATCCACTTTCTGGGCCCCACCTCCTGGGTCCACTTTGTTGTGGATCCAGATTTTCCTGGATCCACTTCTCCCTGGATCCACTTCTCCCTGGATCAACTTTTTTCCTGGATCCACGGTTCCCTGGATCCACTTTCCCCTGGATCCACTTGCCCTGGGACAACGAACTGCAAAGTGGATCCAAGTGGCGGGGCTCGGGAAGTTGATCCAGAATCTGAGGAGCGGGCCTGGAGGGCGCGAGAAAACACAGCGATCATATCGGAAGTTTCTGAGATTTCTGGAGTTTCTGGAAATTTTCCAAACTTGTTTAGAAATTCGAAGGTTTTTTAAACAATTTCTGGGTCTCCCGGAAATTTCATGATTTTTTTTCAATTTTTCCAAAAAATTCAAGATTTTCCCGGAAATGTCCGGGAATTCCGGGAGGCGAACGCACAAGTATAAAGTAGAAAAGAAGTAGAAAGTATAAAGTAGAAAAGATGTAGAAAAGACGCCAGGGCATACATTTATATATATATATATGCGTGTATGAAAAGTACACAACCACCACACTTTATACCAGGAGAAATTTGGGATACATTTAGTATAAATGATTTAGGGTGGCGGAAGCCGGGGGGCCGAACCAGATTTTCCTGTGCGCACACTGTGCGGCGCAAGATTTCTCCGCGCCGTTATGGGGGCGGAGGTCTAATCCTGGATCCACTTTTCGTGGATCCAGGATCCACTTGATTTGTGGATCCACTTTTCGTGGGTTTGGAGGGGGGTCGGCGAGGCTCCAGCTTGGCCCCGAGCCCGCCCGTGCGCCTTGAAGTAGGCGTGCGATCTCTGAGGGAGCGCCCACTAAGTGGACGCGAGCGCCACGCCGAACGTGACAAGGCGATCGATCGGGCGAGCATGCGCGAGAATGGCGCACGCAGCATCAGTGCGCGCATCACATACAGTCTCTGTGCAGCTGTTTCAGGTCAAGCTGAGATGGGGAAGCGTCGCACCAACGTTCAGTATGTGTTCGGGAAAGATGGCGCGCGCAAGCGCGCGGCGGGGTCTGCTGCGTTTGACATGCTGTTGACATTGTATGGGTCATGCAAGAAAATCTCGTCGAACGATTTTTGTGTTCTCTGCTTCTACCTGCGAAAATGCGGGATTGCTGGGGGGCAGTGGGGCACATTTGCGATGCCACCAGACAAGCAGACGGGCAAATACAAGCAACGGATGGACAGACATCTGCCAGGCCCTGGGCCTCTGTACACAGCGAAGTTGCCTGCTACTGTGAGGGGGAACGCGCGCGCGAGGTCAAGGGACATTGTGTTTCGAGAAGTGTTTCGGACTGTCAGTGATGAGGTGCATTCATCTCCCGACACACAGGCAGTGTTGGCGGACGGGCCGTGCGATGATCCCACTAGTGTGCTGTCAGTGCCGTGTTATAGGGAACACCCGCTTGTTCGACAATGCGTCGATGTTACAGGGAAGTGGCCGTTGCCACTGGCTCTCTATATAGATGGAGTTCGGTACACACCCATCTGCGCTGGCCGATCTGATTATGCAGCTTCGCGAGGCACGCTGGGGGGGCATCATTATTTCTACCACATTTCTACCAGTAGAAATGTAGAATACAGTTAGTAGAAAGTTGATCGTGCTCACAGCCCCATGCCCCTTCCTGGGGTCGCGGTCAATCTGTTGCAAGTGAGTGTGGTAAACATGGTATCGTATAAAAGACACATGATGGGGTGCATGCGACATAACGAGTTGTGCGATTGTGGCTGTGGCGGGCATTGCTCAATCCACGGTATGTTGCAAGTGGCCGCGTGGCAGCTCGAGGCTCTGACCGACGGGCTCGTTCCACGCGAGAGGCACGACGGAACCCCATGGCCCACCCACATTTGCCCTAGTGATGTCGGAAAAAAGCTCGGCGTTAGGTGCGTGGTCCTGTATGTGAAAGGGGATTGGGCTGAGTTCTCGAAGTCGATGGGTTTAGCTGGGTGGGGCAACACGTGGCAGCCATGCCCCATTTGCCCAGTGCAGAAAGATGCAATGCATGCATGTCTAACGCGTTGCGTTTCAGCGGGCGGCCTCCAGATGCCCGACCGACGTCACGCCGATTACGAGGTCGCTTGTGGAAAATGCGAGAAGACAGTGGCCGTCACAACTGTAGCTATGCGGAATGAGATATCGGCAGCATTGGAAGCCCAGGAAAAACAAGGGCTGGTGTTGAAATCAGACGTGCGTGGGCTTGCCGCAGGGGACCGACTTGAGTGTTCTCGAGAGCTCATGGTGCCCACAGAGTTTCACGAGGAGAGCGTCCCTTTCAGGGCGACCTTTTGGAGGACTCGTTTTGATTGTCTCAAACGTTGTATCGATTCAGTGCGACACAGGTGTCCGTTGTTCTCTACCAGGCTCGGTGCCTCACCTGCGCGCTCCCTTGCCATAGACACGTTGCACGCAGTATATCTCGGCATGGTGATGGGGATCACTTGCGCCATCTTGATGAGACTGCTGTGGGCCAACTCGTGGGACGTAAGTGTAGCGAAGAGGATGCAGAGGCTGGAAGCTGATATGTTTGTGCATTACGACACGAAAAAGATACCGCACCAGAACAGGGTCAACATCATGACGCCAAAAATGATGACAACCCCAAATGATCCAGAGCACGCGGGTGGCATTCTAAAGTTGAAAGCATCTGAGACGTATGTGGTGTTGAAATTTGCAATATATGAGCTTGAAAAGTTTCCCATATGTGATACCTACCAGGGCAAGGAGCTGTTGGAGGCCGCCCGTGCACTGGTGACGTGGGTACAGACAGTGCGTGAGTCTGGAGCCCAGCTGACGCGTGACCAGTACCAGACTCTCCTGGACTGTGCCAACCGCACGCTGGCATATGCCGACCAAGCGGGAGTTTGGCCTACACCGAAGTTCCACACGTTCGGCCATGTCACTGCCAGGAGCTGGCGCATGGGGAACCCATCGGTCTACGACACTTTCGTCGACGAGGCCCTGAACCTCGCATTGCGGACCTGTGCAGAGAGGAGCCACAGGAGCACGATGGAGGTGTCTGTATTAACATGTTTCGGAATCATGGGTTGCCTTAGCACTGACGTGCGCATCTTTGCATCGACGGACGTCCACCCTAGATGCAGAGGAGATGGTGGAGGAGTGTACGTGTGGCGGAGCGGAGAGGAGGTTGCGGCAGCGGGGGAGGAGGAGGAGTTGGACGACGAGGCAGCTGCAGGAGACGTTGGATTAGCAAAAACACCACCCACACCCCCCCCTTCAGCAAGATGCAACACTTTCTGTTTTCGAGTGGAGACTGTTCCGTGTAGAAATCACCCCCAGGTCAAACGGGAGCCCACGTTGCGTGCGTGATATCTGAGAGGGGGGGGGACGCGCCTCGCCAGGAGGCCCTGGGTCTGACGGAGATGATGCGCCGCCGCCTCGGCCTGTGAAGCGGTTGCGCGGTCGCTTAGACGAGCCCGGCAAAAAAAGCTCGGGTGCCCATGGGACGGTGCACGGAGAGAGAGGGGCGGTCGCGTCGAGCACGCGTCCATGTTTGTTCCTTGCCGCAGTGTCCTTTTAGGATCAGGCCTCCGACGGCCAGCCTGCTCGGGCGCAGGGGCGACGAGCGAATGGCACATGACGGATGGGGGCACTGGCAGCGAGTGCTCTCGACAGTTGCAGTAGCACCTCGGTCTCCTCCGTCCCGCGAGCTGCATGCGGGTGCGGCGCGTCGAAACGTCAACTTGTATAGGCGGGATGGGAAAGTAGATGGAAGGGAGGGGAAGTGCAGGCACGATGGGGGATGGTAGCCAGGTGCAGCACTATCGTGGACAGCAGTGACTCCGACACGGATCGCGCCAACGGCGTGGTGTTACCGATTCGGAGGAAGGTTCGTTTCGCGATGCCGCGACGGGTGTAAACTCACGGGGCATGACGCCTGATGGGGGACGTGAGGTCGACCCTGCACCGCCACCCTGTGATCCCGGGCCTTGGTATCTCTCCAACAGCGCATCGGGATTCCGCCCAGGCCTCGGCCTGGCTCTTCCGACATAGTGGAGCACGAGATCTACGAAGGTTGCCACATGGAGAAGAGGACACATCCAGTTTTAGGCATGGGTTAGCATATGTTGAGATGCGCGTTGCAGTGGTGCTATATTTCATCTCTCACACACGCACATGCGTAGCCGACAGTTTCTCAGGCTTGTAATGTCTACCAAATTTATTCTACATTTATTCTGGCATAAATTCGGTATAAATGTTGCGTTGGCCGCTCGCCCCGCCAGGAGCCGTAGATGGCCACCGCCCCCGGCGAAGCTGAAGCGGCTTCGCGAGAAACGCAGCTGGCCAGCTGATGCAGTGCTAGTGAAGTCAGAATACCTTAAAGGTATAGAATGGGGTGAATATGTAGATCGTAAGAGGAAGAGGGGCGGCCGACTCCTATACGCCCTTCTCATGCCGCCCCGTGTGTCCACAGTCGTGCCCCCCAGTCCGTTATTCCGCCCATACTTTGTCGCTGCCCTCGCCCTACCTCGCGTTGGAGTCTGCCGCCCTCGCCAGAGACGCCGCATGAGGCCCAGACATTGGGGCCCCTGCCCCGCCTGCATTGCGATGAGGCGCTGTTTAGAGGAGCGCATGTACATCTGCGTGGTGTGCACGCATCGCCTAGAAGACATGCGCGCTGCAGCTCTCGGTGAAAGCCCGAGTGACAGTGATGACTCGGATTAGCTCGAGCTTGTGCACGCCTGGGGAAACGATTCGTCCGCTTCCCATTGTCGTCGCACGCCGTCGACTTCGGCCATCCTTGCACCCTCGCTATCCTTTCTCGCCCGCTTGCCTTTCGAGCTCGCAGTTTTGCGGGCGCGCCCCGCGCGGGGCGATGGCAGAGGAGGGGGAGCAGAGGAGGAAGGCGGCGGCCGCCGCACTCGGCCCGGAGGAGCTCGCTCACAACATCCCGCGGGCGGAAGCATTGCTGGCGCACATTCGGGGTGCAGGATTGGATCCCACGACAACGAAGCCGAAGGTCATCGCTGAGTCATTGGCCAGAGCAGATAGTTCGTTCCAGCACAGAGCAGAGACAGCGTTCCAGCTGGGGGCGTGGATGTCAAACTGGGCATCAGACGGCAAGATACCGCGGATGACAAGGCAGACTCTGCAGAAGTTCTTGGAAGCTTTTCATCGGAAGGTCATTGCCAGCATCGTCCTTCTGATCATTCGCCATCCTCATATTTTTCTCGTCTTGGCAAGTCCTCTCTCTCTTTCTATCTCTTCGCGCCACCACCGCCGCCCTCCCCGCCGCCGCCGCTCGCACCCAGGTCGCCGCTGCAGAAGAAAAGGAAGATCACGCTGGCCACGAGGAGGCCAGAGGAGGAAGCAACGATGATGAATACGAGGAGGCCAGGGAGGCCGACGAGACAAAAGCGGAGGAGAAATATACGGCCAGGGAGGCCGAAGCGGCGCCGAAAGCCGACAAGGCGCCCCGAGGAGGAGACCAAGGAGGTCGACGCGGAAGGGCCAATGAGGCCGAAGCGGCGCCGAAAGTCGGCACGGCGTTCGGGGATGACCAGAGAGGCCGACGCGGAATACGAGATGGCAGTGAGGCCAACGAGCCAGGCTCCCTTGTCGCTGCTGCCAAGAGGAGTGCCCAGCTGATGGGCATCATGGCAGGGCGAGAAGAAGTGCGCCTTCTCAAGAAAGTAAGGACTGGCTCCTTGGAGCTCTGTCCGCCATCGAAGGATACACAAGAGCTCGAGGCGACCGACGGTTGGGCAGCTGGTCGGGCGAGTCGGGCGCCTGTGACGCCGACGAAGGGCCGCGAGGAAGCGCGCACGAGAGCTAAGAACGCTGCCCCGACCAGCGATCACCGTAAGGATGACGAGTCGACGTCAGACTTCTCCGAGTTGCCGTCCGAATACGGCGATGCAGAGAGCGAGGAAGAGCAGTGCCGACAACGACAAGAAAAAGCACTGGTACTACCGCAAGAAAAACGGTGTCTGGCTCAAGTCGTGGGTTACCGCCGATCAAACGAAGAAGAGGCCGAAGCGGCAGATTAGTCCCACTGTGCCCCACCGTTCAAGGCCGACGTCCGCGCTGAAGGCTGTAGCTCCAGAGAAGGAGGCAGAGTGGCAGGCAAAGTGGCGGCCATGGCCATGGCATGCTGACAGCTCGCGGTGGAACTCGGGGTGGACTGCCGATGCCTCGTGGAAGAAGGCTTCCGATGATGCCTCGTGGAGGAAGGCTTCCGATGACGACGACTCGTGGGGCAAGTGGACTAGCGAGACCGACTGGCGGTCGAGATCTGTCTGGTGACAGCGGCGGCAAGAGGCGGCCAGGAGGCGTCAGGAATGAGGGCCGCCAGGGGCGGCGAGGCTGAGGACAGCCATGAGGCGGCCAGGAGGCCGAGGGCCGCCAGGAGGAGGCGGCAGCACTGAGGGGCGCGCTGGCCCCACGGCGCGAAGGGCCCGCTGGCCCCCGCGCGGAGGACGCGGCGCAACTTGCGCGCGCCGCGTCGGCGAACAAGCATTCGCTCTTTCTCCTCCTATCTTTCTTCTCGGGGTCCCTGGCTTTTCAAATCCAGGTCCGATTTAAATCTGTAGATCCCGTGGTTTGTTCTCACGCACTACAGATCCCGCGTGTGTTAGGCGATATCGCCCCGCGCGCTGTGCGCCCGTATACGAAACAATATTCGTAGACGGATGCCCTCAACAATGCGCAAAAGTGCTACAGTACGCACCGTGCGACCGTGGGAAGAAAACGAGCGCCCGTGCGTGTAGGGAGGAGGGATGGCGAAAGGAAGGAAGCGAGAAGAGAGGGGAGCGCTAGCGCGCGGGCGCGGTCGTTCTTGTGTGTTGTAGCCGCTTCTCAGGGCAAGCTGAGAAGGTGCATGGCTACGCGAGGGGCCAAAAGGCCGAGGTCTGGAGCAAGTCCAGAGCACTTTTGGGAGAAACGCGCTCCCCCGCGCGTGCGTATAGCGGACATATGCATATGTATGTGCGTGTACATATATAATCACATACATATGTACAGATATACACATATAATATAAATGCATATATGATATATATACATATATACTTAAATACGTGTATACATATACTCGTATCTACATATATACATACATATATATACATATATATACATATATATAAGCATGTATAAACAACATAGCAGAAAAAAATGGATCCAAGCGAAAAATGGATCCAATACAGAAAGTGGATCCAGAAAAGCTGGCCCAAAGAAAGTGGATCCAGCAAAACGCGTTTTTACACAAACACCGCTCTTGGATCCAGAAAACGGATCCTGAGGACCTCTGGGCAAGGCACTCTTGCATCTCAGTGCCCGAGCCATCTTCTCGACTCCAGCTGCCCGGTTGGGACAGGAGATGCGACCCTGGAGGTCAAGGAGATGGAGATGGATGATGCGGCGGAAGGGGCGGAAGCTGCGGAGGCCGCGGAAGCTTGGGGGCCTGAAGCGGCGGAGGCCATTGAAGGTGCGGACGAGGCGCAAGCCGTCAGCCGCGCCCCTGGAGCAGAATCGGGCAGACAGGAGTTTGCTTCCGAAAGTGCGGACGGCAGCCGCGACAGTCTGCGAAGCGAGATCCTGGACCAGCAGGGGCTCGTCTGCCACAGCGTGCCATCCCCACCTTCTCCACGAAATAGGCAGACCGTCAGCAGTCCTCTGGGAACGCCGCAGACCAAACACGGGGACCACGGATCAGCCTTACAGACGCAGGGCATCGAAGCCATCCGCCGGCTCGTCGGGAGAAACCCCTTCGCGCCTATTCGCCCTCCTTCCCCCGCCAGCGAACCCGCCCGAATTGGCGGCGAACCTCAGGCGCTCCCTCCGGCGCCCAGGACACGCCTGCTACAGCAGTTTGTGCTCTGGCAATGGAAACGGCGCACGCGCCCGGCACGACCGGCGGCGCCCCCGCGCCCGGCGAGAGCCTCGCGGCGAGTGAAGGGGGCGCGCCCGTGAGAGATGGCGGGCACAGGCCCGAAGGCGAACGCCAGCGAATGGGGCCTCTCCCCGCGCGCCTCAGGGCAGCGTCCGCCCGAGCTGCCGGAGGTGATCCGGCCCCTGCCTGGCGGCCAACTACGCGGCCCGCGTCAACCCGCAGGGCGCCGCCAGGCGTGCAACCGGAACTGTCGCAAACAGGTTTCGAGCCCTCCGTCCAGGACAGCGGGGCTGGTTCGCCGGAGACTTGCGGCCAGAACACGCGGCAGCGCCAATGGCCAGAGCCGCGCCAACGGCCAGAGCCTTCAGACCCCGACACGGGACAGCAGCTGTACAAAGCAAAGATCGGCGCCATCCAGCGGGGCCCTCCCGGGGAGACACCCGGCGAGGCGATAGCGCGGCTTCAAGTCACCCCGGGGGCAATTTTCGCAGGCACCTGGCACGCGTTCGCCGCGCAGCAGGCCGCGCCCGGCAGCAAAGGCGCGCTCGACCCGCTGCGGCGCGACCCGCAAACTTGCCTCCACTTCCCGCCCTCCTCCCGCAGCCACAAGTGCGACGTGCGGGCCGTGAGCGACGCGCTGGGCCGCGGCGTCGACTGGGCTCAGCTGAGGCATCGGCGCCAGGGTCGAAGCGGCGGCGCGGGCAGGGGTCGCCAGGCGGCGAAGAACCGCGCGGACAGCCGCGCACCCAGGAAGGGCAAGAAGCACAGTGGGTGGTCGTCTCCTAACGCTCTGCGGGCGCGCTTGCCCGTGTTTCACACCTGTCTGCCGCGCTGTCGGTCAAGGGCCGAACCCCTGGCCTCCCGCGCAACGGATGCCCGCCGCGCGCTTGCGGGCCCTCGCCCCCCCACCAGCCCGCCCAGGAACGACAGTTTCCCGCGGGGACAGCCGGCGTCGACGGCCATGAGCCGCAGCCCGGACGGCGTGCATCCTCAGACCCCAGGCGGCCGTCCGCCGCAACCCTGGCGCACCGCGACCCCCTGGTGTACTGTGCCCACAAAACTCGGAGCATCCGTAAGCTGCGCCCCGACGAGGCGCCGCCCTGGCGGCGAAGGATCCGCGAGAGCCCCGGCCAGCTGCCGGTTCCCTGGGCGCAGGTTCCGCTGCCCCCTTCAACTGCGCAGTGCGTTCGGGCGGCAGCGCGTTGGGCGGCGGCGGGGGCGGCCGCGGCAGCCCTCGGCATCAGGGGGGGGGCCGCCTGCACTGAGCTTGAGAGAGCAGCCGCTAGCTGCACTTCGACGGGGTAGCGCACTGGCGGCGAGGGACCCGCGCGGGCTCCAGGCCAGCAGCCTATCCCTGGGCGCAGGCTCCGTTGCCCCTTGGCGGGGAGGGGTCCATGTGCTCTGCGCCCCGGTGCCCCTGTCCCGGCTCCGGCTGCCCGTTCGGGCTTCCCTCGCACCCTTGCTGCCTTGCGTCCGTCGGCGATCAAGGCACCCTCGCCCCCCCGTGCCCGATTGCTGCAGAGGGCAGGCCAGGGCTTGGAGACAGGCCCCCGAACGTTCGCCCCAAGCCACGTGCAGCGGCGCAGGCCAACGCACGACCGTCACAGCAGTCGCCGGCGTGACAGATGAGTGCTGCACCGCGTCGGCGGCGACGGGCGTCGCGGGAAGGTGGAGTGGGCGGCGCGGGCGCGCATCCAAAACATCCGGACGGTCCCTCCGGCGTGTAACCCCAGCCTCGGGGACGTCCAACAGCGCTCGCACGGGGTCTCGGCGCGTGCCTCATCCCAGGCGGCCGTCTACCGCAACCCTGGTGCACCGAGGCCCCCTTGTGTACTGAGGCCACGAAACTCATAGCAGCCTTTAGCTGCACCCCGTCGTGGCACCGCGCCGGCAGCGAAGGTTTTGCCGGTTCCTGGGACAGGACGGCCGCGTGGCAAGGGGAGTCAGCCCCGTGCCGTTGCAGTCGTACACCGCATCGGGCGACGAGGCAGCTGGTTCCCCCGGCACGCTGGCAGCCGCCGCGCGGCTTGCACCGCGGGCGGGCCGTCGGTACTTGTCGCATCTAACCCATAGCAGGCTTCGCCTCCCCTGGGTTCGCCCCGCTCCCTTCTCTCCGCTCTGAGCAGCGGTTAGCTGCGACCCTGGATCTACTCTGCCCCCTCCCCCCCTCTCACAGGGCTGGCCAGGGCCCCGCGCTGACGGCTGTAATATGCTTCGCTCATGCCGGCGGTTAGCTGCGACCCTGGACCCCCGCGGGGAATGGCAGATGCGCCGGGCAAGACTGTGCGGGGAGGGATCCGCGGAGGCTCAAGGTGCTCTTGCATCCCCGGGCCGCTGCCCTCCTCGGCGCCGGCTGTCCGTTTGGGGCCCCCATCGCCCCCTTCCGGCCTAGCGTCCGCGCGCGTTCTCGGCCCCCTCGCCCCCCCGCGCCCGCGCGCTGCAGAGGGCAGGCGCGTGCTCAGAGGCGGCCCCCGCCCGCTCCCTGACGGACAGCGCGTCGGACTTGGGGCTGTAGAGGCCGCGGCCTGCTTGGAAGCAAGAGAAATCAGCCCCGTGCCATTGCAGTCGTGCGCCCCGAAACGGAGAGGCGCGACGGCGGCGGGGGGCTGCCCTCTCTCGCTGCAGCAGGTGCGGCCCCCCTGGACAACATATCCATAATTATCAGGCTGCGTCTACCCTGGGGGTGCTCTGCCCCTTGATCGCCCCCTCCTTGGGCGCTCCGTCTTCACTCACTCAGAGCGGCGGTTAGCCAAAACCATTATGACGAAGGAGATTTGGTTGACTACCATCGCCCTACAAGTACTGAAGTTGACTGGGGAGGCTGGAGTGGCCCGTTCCCAGTTGCAAGGAATGATCCCGACAGGGGTCAGGTCATCATCCGAGTAGGCAATCGAGAAGTTCAAGTACAATACGGCGATGCAAGACACTCGCTCTATATTGAAGCACTCATAGCCCGAGGGATTGGCTCCGACAGCGCTGCACTACGTACAGTGTTGACATTCGTAGCTAGCCTGTCAGCGGGGAGACCTGCGCTGAGATTTGGCTATGTGCCGACCAAGCAAGGTACGTTTGAGATGACAACGGCAAGTCGTCTATCTCCAAAGGTACGCTCGGCTCTACAATATCTCATCAGAAACTTCTTTCGCATCGAGAATGTAGTTTCGGTCAGGTTAGCCAAGAGTATCCATAAGCTTCCCCGGTTTACTTATGCTGACAGCTGCACATTGGTCCATCACGACAACGAAGTGAATCCAGGATTCCATCACTATGAAGCAGAAGGTATTGTTCTGAATATACATGGTAAAATGGGATCAGC